TCATTTTAATATTTTATGGATTCAAGACCGCAGGGATCCAAAATCAAAAAGGTAATAAAAGCTGGAGAAACTCGCAGCACTGACTTTACAAGAATAACCCCAAACCACATAACCCTGTAAAATGATCTGATGTTTTCAAAATGAATGCAACGAAGGCAAAACCGAAAGGCATAAAAGTGAATATATCAAAGAAGTTAGGATTAGGTAAAGGTTATGGAAAGGACCACGTATTGACCAGCTATGGTTAAACGCAGGGTAAACCTCAAGGGAAGTAAAGGTTAATCGATGCAATGTCCTTTACATGTGTAGAAGCAACAAACAGTGTCTGTGTGTGTATTGGGTTATGGGAAGGGTGTTGAACAGTGCTGACCAAGCACTAAGCATCTCATACATATAAATTATGCATTATGAGAATATATTTTCTGAATATACACACATATATAGCCGTGAAAATGTCTCCTTGATTTCTGTCTCCAATGGATTTAAAAGAACTGGGTGATGTTGAACCTGTAAACATGAGCCCTCTTTATATTCATCGTTAATTTGTGGTAATTGAAAGCAAAATGTAAGACGCTAACTGGCCAGAGAGTAATATGTGTTAGTTAATAGTCGAGGTGCAAATCTAAGCCAGGATGAAGTATTATCTAACAAATGTAATAGCATCCTAATAGCATTATATTCCCTCCGGCTACTGCACAATTTTTCCATCAACCTAAATGCCATTTTGCTTCCAATTGTAAGCTAGTACTGTAAAGCTATACTATAAAACGTACCATGGTTGGCAAAAGCAACAAAAAGCGTTGTTAAACATTCTGTTTATGTACGTTTTAAAAATCCACAAATTCTAAGGCTTTACTCGAGTGGGATGTATGAAGTGTGAGAACTGGAAAAAAGGGTCAGAATAAAACAGCATAAAGGGTTGGCGAGGAGGCAAACTACTAAAGAATATATAAAGAGAACACAAGAGACTTGTATGTTTATGTTGTGTGAGCTGCTGGCCGTCACATGCATGGCCAAGAGGCGCCGCATTGGAAGTGCAATTACATGCAAATAGCCACATTGTCAAGGCCATCAGTGGGAATGAATGGAAATAAAAGAAGCACTTCAAACACCATCTAGTTTTATTGACAATCAAACGCTGGTCCAGCACTACCATTAAACTGTTCTCTTTTGATCAGACATGTGGCATGAATACTTTGCCAGAGCCCCCCCCCCGTTGCTATTGGTACTAAAAATGAGGGAAGATGACGAACTGAAATGGGGCAATTTCTGTTGACAGGCTTCTCTAAAACAGGAAATCCTGACATGCTGTAATAGCTAAAGCATCAAGCCAAAAGACTCCATGCTGTGCCAGCAACTAGAAACACTGGCTCCTTCTAGACAGCTGCTAAAGAAAACAACAGAGCAGTCATAATCTGTGTGTTCTTGGTGAGATGAAGGAAAGATTGCCGGGCCCAGATTGGATTTTCTAGTTTCTGAATTCTCATCTGCAATCATCGGCAACACTTCTCCCAGTCCATCTGTGGACAAGTGTCTGATTATTGATGAAAGAAAACAGCTGACAATAAGAGACGCTTTGGAGCAGTTGGAGACGCAAGCCTCAGGACCTATTTATTCATGCTGAGGAATTCATTTTGATCCGGAGAGCGTCAAGCGTCATTTCAGTGAAACGGGCAATAACAAGAACTTGATTTTAGTAAGTGAATCAGAGAAAATAACTGAGCCTCGGTTTTGAAAGGCGGGATGCTAATACTGAAATAATACTACTAATAATAATAATCTCTGTCCTACAGGCTTTGAGTGTAGGCTATGTGAACAAACTCATAACATTCGGATGGTGTTTAATTCCACAGAGTTTCCAGAGCCTCTTCCATCAACTTAAAAGTCAGAAATAATCAGCGCTCAGCAATCAATGGCTGAAGCAACAGTAGAACACTCACTGCGGGCCCCCATAGAAATCAGGCGGCAAGCCAATCTGAGCCCCTGCCAACAAATGTCTGCTTAAATGGTGACTCTCATCCTGCACACCGGATATTCAATTTGTTCCGTAAGCCGGGGATGAAAAAGCAATTATTCACAGTCCCCTCTTTTCACGATCTGTTTCTCTCAGATATGTCCCATCTTCCCCCCACTAACAAATAAACCTCCAGATTAGTGCAGTGTGTGTCTGCTCACAGGGGCAGCCAGTTGAAGCACTTAGTTCAGGCCAAAAAAAGTCTGTCAATCAGTTTGAACGATGGGAGTGAGGTTTTAGAAGACAAAACACACACTCCCCACCAGCCTTGTGGGGCATGGGTAAAAGCCACTAGATAATGGCTTGATAGCTGGATGTCACTTCGAAGCATGGAGGAGAGGAGTAAGCACATGTCAGAAGAACACTTTCTTTTACATGAATTACACTACACAGAGCGCCCTGAAACCAAGCAGCCCTAACTTGATCAGGGAGAAGCGCTGTCAGGGGAGCCCACTCAGCCGAGGCTCCAATTTACACTTGGGGTATTAGGTGGGACCCTAGCGTGACTGTGCGGGGGGAATAAAAACACAGAGCTGCTTCATATGCTCTCCGTTACTGGAACACATCCTGGGACAAGTTGGTGGATGTAGTGAGGCAGAGAGAAGCTCATGTTTCAGTCATAACCCTTGTTTCCTTCAGATGTCGCAGGAAGAGCACCTGTTGATAGAGAGATGTGAAACAGTCTGCCAGTGTAATTGGCTCCCTCCGTGTTCAGATAGCGAGGATACAAAATTGATGTATGAAAGATGAAAAGGGGGAAGAGAGACAGTGGCAGGACCATAGGGTGTATGGAAAAGAGGGATAAGGCTCAGAAGTTATCCATCTGATAAGGGCAGTGTGACAGCAGCAGACCTATGGATGTCGAGGAAGCTTAAGGCTCGACATCCATGATTGAGTTTCCCCACCTCGTGTCCCATTCCACAAAAAAACTTCAATAACTGTGCTGCCTTCCAGGCGCAGCTCAAATAATGCAGGACTTCGCATTATCCGGACACCAATTCTATTCAACCATTTCTATGTTAGGAAGCTATAGAAATCCCGGAGAAATAAGGCATGAACTAATGCCAAATGAAGGGTTTTAAACGAGCGCCATTCAGAGCATGGGACAGGGTTTGCCTGAAAGAAAATGGCATGACGGGTGAAGCTTCCTCGGCTGGCCCACTAAAGATAACACAAACGGTTAGCCTTCAAAAGGAGCAGGCCTAAGCCAAGGATGATTGTTAATGCCATTTCTAACAGCATTCTAACCAAAGAACAAAAGGGCTTTCTGCTGATTTGCATTTTAATGTCTGCACGCAAAAAAGGATTCAACAGTCCTTTTGCGCAATAGGTGACCAATCTGGAGCATGGAAATGAACAGCAGCTGGGAGGCATTGCTGAAGTGAGGAGAAACAAAAAAAAACATCCACAGTGCCAACGAAATTAAAACAAGCACCCGAACGAACTTCAAATTGGAAAAAAAATAAAAGCATATTGGTTAGATTTCTTAGATTATAACCCCTATTTTCCAAAATCAATCTAATTGGATTGTTGCAAAATGGGATAGTGTACCAAAGCTGGCTCTGATAAAACCAATACTTCCAAATTGAAACATCTTCTTATTAACTGGTTCGATGTTGAGCGGTTTATTTTTTATGAAAAGTACCTACTGTCTCTTCAAAGCCTTAGTACTTTGTATTAATATAAGGCTACAGAGTCAAATCTGGGTTTTATGTCTCCAACACGGTTTGTTGCTACATTATTAATATTGCTTAAATATTTCATTTGTTAAATTATTTTCAGAATGTGCGATGTTCTTCGAGGGCTCCAACACATCGACACTGGTTCCTAACTGCTTAAACAGCCGAGTGCATAAAGTGATCACGATCTTAATAAATGAACGTGGACATTTTGTGTGACCGTGTTCATCTTCCTGTTACCACATCATTGCTTTGACACAGATCACAGTACCTGTTAACTCTCCAATAAGCAGTCAGCGCACACAGCCAAATCGGCCCAGCTGTTACATCCTTCATGGCCTGTATTAGAATGATGAGCGTGTAGAATCGAGCAACATTGTAATGTGGCACGCTTTGGGGTTTTAAAAAAGCTGAAATCTTTGTTTGTAAGATAGTGTTTTAAGTGGCTATGAGGGTAGTTCTAACAAATTGTCAGAGCTGAATAGTAAATGTGGTTCCCTTTAAGCTTTGATGCAGATGTCTGTGTGTCTTTTTTCTCGTAAAATTCCAACCCCACAGCAACAAACGCTTCCATGACTACAAAGGATAAATGACAAGGCGGAGGATGAATACTCGGCATCATGTTGAAAATCTCCATGTTTAAAACTAACACCATTTGAGAGGGACTTTCTCTTTAAATGACCATCCATCACTAAAGAAATAAAAAATCCATAGTTTTTTTTCATGCAAGGAACGCATTTGAATCAACATACATCTATTTCACGCTGCTGGAGACTATCATATTCAAATGTAATTAAACAAATACGTACCGATATGCACACATTCCAGAAATGTGGTGCTAGGTGGTGACCTTACATTAGAAAAAGGCTTCACATTGTCTTTACATTGAAATCAACTCTTAGACAGTGTCAAAACAGAACACACACGTTTCTCTGATTTCATGTGTCTCCAGTCTGTAGGCAATTATTGCTTTTTAGGTGACCTTCTTAAAGATGGAGGGCAGACAGTATCATCTGGATGATTAATCCAGCGTTTACTTTCCCTAGTAAGAAGAGCATAGGTGTTGCTAATAACTTGAATGATGAATCTGTTTTATTTTAGCGTCCCAGTTAGTCATGACAGTGTGACGGTGAACTAGCAGGCACACTACCAGGACCCATCAGCAGTACATTATTTAGTATTATTAACACGTGTGCTTTCTTTAGTTTCCACACTGTATTGATAACTAGAGCAGCTTTCAGACCGAGAAATCCATGTACCGAAACATAAATAAATGGAGAAAATAACTGATTTATAGAAATATTTACCGCAAGTCGCTGGTGGTCAACCACTAAAGGAGGATGAGGGGGGGCTGGTTGTGGCTCTTCCTCCGTCCTTTCAGTAATTCCCTTCAGCTGCTCTGACATCTCGGCTGTGGAACCCCCTATAAAAAGACAAATGGATTATTGATGGAAGAAGGGTTGACCATGTGAGTTCCAGTGTGAACATCAAAAACATCCTACAATGAAGGGCTCGGCTTTAAAAACCTCTTCGGAGTCACGAACCGCCGAATAGCACAAACTAGGAAATAAATTCCAACTGCCATGGCTACAAGATGAACGCAATACGTGAAGAGAATACATATTAAAGTACTTGCAGCTACAATATTTCATATTTGGTCTTTTTCCTGTCCATTTGTAACAGCGCTCAAGCGACACTTCGATGCAAGCAAAAAGCCTTGCTCAGCTTGTAATGAGCGCGGGGGCGGAGTGGCTGGGTTGTCTGTTGTTTGAGGAGCCCTGGTTTGTTTTTGTTCCATTTGCTGATCGTGCCATCCTCTGAAGGCTTCTCCATATTCTAGGAGCGCCATTACCTTGGCTTTCCAGCTGGCCCCTAGCCGTCACAAGCCCAACCACAGGCCTGTAATCACACCCATAAACCTTTTGGCTTATCTCTGACTCAATAGAAACGGCATAATGGCTCATGGCAATTGTGAATCTTTTATAGACAAAAAAAAAGAAGTCAGAATACATATCAGAAGCTGACGAATGACTACAATGGTACTCGTAGCTTCAAGCATGTGGGGTTTCTCCATTGAATTATACTATCTGCTAAGCCAGAGGATAGCATTTCTATATTCTGTATGACTTATGTTGCATAATTCATGTCCTCTCTCTACTTTAAAAGCGTAACCGAGTGCAAATCACAGGAGCTGGGTAGTAATCAAAAAAGTAATTCATCGTCGTAATTAGGTGGTGGGCAAAGCACTGACTGGATGTATACAAATTAACAGATTTTGTTAACTTGCGTAATTGCATTCCTACTGTGAAGATCAGCTGATTAGGAAGTGAAATGAGGAAACCAAAATGAGTAGCTGAAGAGTGAAAGATGTGCTCTCAAATCTCATCTGTGACCCGTAACTCATTACTTAAATACAACATGCATCCAGCAACAACAGCATTTGGATTCAATGTTTAGTGCTGTATATATTTACATTTTCAAGGGATGCTGAAAACATACAAAAATCCCAAAAATAATAATAATACTTGAGATTAAGTCTGCACAGTTTATCACTTATTGATTATTATCACGAAACGGCTGCTTTCAAAGTAGACCGTTAAATTAAATTGCACTGAATACAGGTGAGGAAGAAACTTGTTTTCATGCTAACATCTGGTAATTAGCAGGAATGTAGCACAGCATGAAAGTGCCTTTGTGATTCTATTTTGGGCAAAAAAGTTTTAGCACAATGTACCTTCTAATTTGGTCCTAGGAGATGCTCTAAAAATAAGGACTCTTCTTAGTTTGAAATAAGATTTGTTCTTTGGCAGCAGTATAACACAGCATGGAAGTGAAACTGCTGTGTTTGTTTCAATGTGTTAGTCTAATTGAAATAGTGTGTCCCAATCCCTAATCAATGACTTCTTCGTTATAGATTATTGTTGTCTCAATATTGATCAAAATAATCCTGATAATCATTTTGGCAATGGTTGTGCTTGAAAGAAAGAGCTCTATTTTCCAATTTCTAATTCTATTTAAGATCACAGAAGCCTCAAGGTGTAGCATTATACCTTCTGTATGTTGATGTTCCACAACATGTCCTGTTTCTGCTCTCCCGTCCTGGGGGGGGTGCTCCTGAGTTGGGTTGCTCTCGTGTTTATCTTTGTGCTCTTGCAGTTCTGGTTCATTAGAGCACCGAGCCGTGCTATGAGCAGTTCTTTTCTCACCCTCGCTGCTCCCCTGGAGGCTGTGTGAGTCCAGGCTGTCCATTGACTCGTTTCCATTCACACAGTCCGCTTGTGATACTAAGACACCCTCTGTGTGCTTAGGCTGGACCTCAGCATCTGAAGATTTGGACAATTCAATTGACGGCTGGAAGTCAGCCTTCTTGGACTGGCCATCCCCATCTGCCTGGGGCTGAGAACTGCCACTGAGGCGAAGCGGCTCACTGTGTTTCTCTGTGTTCTCAGGCTCTGCCTTTTTGGCCGAGGGTTCCTCCTCTGTAGGCGTTTGCTCTTTTGGGCTTCGCTGTCAACTGGAGGTTCAGCAGGAGCTGCAACAGGGGGCTCGTTGGAGCTCTCCTCTTCCGTAGAGGGGACATGGGGATGGTGGCCATTGGGCTGGGGTCCCATGGTGTCACATGATGATTCCTCGTCCGGCGTTAAACATGAGTCACTGGGCCCTACAGCTTCCACCTCGGCCTCGGGCTCCTCCTCCTCCTCTTCCTCCTCGTCCATTCCTTTTTTGTAAGTCTTCTTCTTACGAATGATGCCCCGTCCCCAAGATGGCCGCCGGCGAATCTTCCGCTTTATGTGATCTATGATAGAGAAAAAAGATGGAGAAAGACAAATAAATAAAATATTACATTATCCATCAAAACATTTAAAGTTTAAGAATAACTAAGAACTAGAATGACATCCTCTGTTTGTATCCTTCTGTAACAAGTTGCTGTTTACATCTATGTCTGTCTAAAATCTTACCACCATATTTTTATGGTATGAGACATTTGTGTGAAATTGTCCAAATGAGCGTTATTTCCAAAGAAATATATTGGGGGGGGGGTCACAGTGGCAATGACCTTTCACCATCAAATTCAGTTGTTGTTGTCCAGGTGATCCAAATTTGAAAAAGAGACATAATGTTAAAAGATTGGATGATGGAAAGCAAGGACATAAACAAACACAACTTTCTCATGTTTAACACCATCATCTTTTTCGTCATCGTTATATTCGTGTTTGCAATTGAATGTATTTTAATATGGACGTTTGGCCTTTTTCAAAAATGTACAGGCAGTGGGTGAAAAAGATTGTAAGAGAGAGGCAGCCGGAGACAGCAGCCCTGCTACATCCTGGTTGTTGGACACTAATGACAACAGATGGTGTTCTGGGTTTTTAAGAGGAAGGGAGAAACAGAAGCCGGCTTTCCGAGAGTGCAGTAAAAATGTCAAAGCAAGCAAGAACGCTAAATGCAGTGAAACTTGAAGGCATTTGCCTTCATTTACTTCCAAAGCAGACGCTGAGATACAGACCAGAGCAACAAAGTCAGAGAGAAGAGCCAACAGAACGAAAGTGTGAGAGAGCAAACAGATAGGGACCCACACATGTCGGTTTCCCAGGGACAAAAGCATTGAGCCACATCAGAGGGTATAATGCTCAGCACCAGCAGGATAAAAACTGTAATCCTATCATAAACTATGAACAGTCTCAAAAAGGAAGAAATCACTTCATAAAGGTCCCACATGCATGTGCATGATGTGCGTCATTGACCCGAGATGTGAATATCGATCACAATGGACTCATTCAAAATCCAAGCTATTGTATTTCAAGTCAAAGGCCACATGAATGAGCTACATCTACGAGGTGGATCTTATGCGGAATCAATAACCTTGTCAGCCTGGTTCTGAAAGGACTAAATGGACTGCATTGTTTTATTCAACATCTTACTATACTGTAAACTTATACTCCCTTTATGCTTTGAGCAAAGCGTTGGATTTACTACTACCGAAGGCTTCCATTGTATAATTCGTAACTTCCCACAAAGACACAAATAGGCAATATCTGACAAGAAATCATGATATGCCTGCTTGTTGACTGTCAAGTCTCCTTTCCCTCAAAGCTTTTAACCACATATCCTTTTACCACTGTAAAGATGTGATTATGCACACTGTGCGTGCTTCAGAGGTAGGTAGAAAATGAAACCTGTTAAGCACTTGTCAATGGAAAGGGAACAGAAATGGAAACATTACACAACAATTTTTTATCCTAAAAAACATAATATAAACAGGGAAATAAGTCACAACTAGCACAACAAAAAACCCATGGAGAACTGGAGGACGCTTGCTGCTAGCTAATGCTCCACAATAATTATAACAAATGCAAATTCACATAACTTTAGTACATTTAGGTAATATTTCGTATCATGTACACTTTCAAGGACATTTCGAAAAGTACTTAGTCCATGTGATTAAGTGAGGCCGTGAATCTTTCACTCGGTCTGATTTTATAATACACCCAGTGTTTAAGCCGTGTTCCGGCTTTTGTTCATTAATGGAGACCTTTTAAAAACAGCGCTATGAGCAAGGTGCATGCACAATAATGTAAATGATAATCACAGGAGAAAGGACAACCGGTTTGCCACTAGTAATTCACACATTTCACAGACACTGGTCTTTAGGAGACAAAAAAATGATAAGCCAGGGCAGTTTTCCCTGTAGAGAAAGCCACCAGAGCGGGAGGTTCAAAGAGACAATGGCAACACACACACACCACACACACACACACACACACACACACACACACACACCACACACACACACACACACACACACACACACACACACACACACACACACACCACACACACCACACACACACACACACACACACCCACACACACACACACACACACACACACACACACACACACACACACACACACACACACACACACACACACACACACACACACACACACACACACACACACACACACACACACCACACACACACACACACACACACACACACACACACACACACACAACACACACACACACACACACACACACACACACACACACACACCACACCCCCCTGCCATGGCATGCTTCAGCGATCGACAGCCATTATGCCCAGTTTGTCATTGAGCCTTTTTTCAAGTGTCCAAGGTGGGATGCAGCTTTGGTTTTGGTTCCTTCTGATCGGATTTGGAACGAGGAGACAGCCGAAGGGTAAGCTATGAGAGTATGCGAAAAGTGCCATTCTTTTTCAGGCATGACTGGCCAACGAGATAGTTGCAATGCAGTAACTTGGAGATTAGAAAAACAGCAAAAACTAATAATTTGTATATTATCCGAGAGGATACATTTCGTTTAGAATGGTCATTTGTCAAAGCTTGGGTCTTTTCAAATTAAGTAAAGAAAGTATTGCTTCTCTGCTCTGAGTTTTGCATGTATGAGTTTTTCTTTAAAAACATGTAATGTCTATTCAAATATAGCCAAGTCAAGGCAAATGTCAGCATGTAATTATGAATAGAACATAATAAAAAATAAACATAGAAGCTTCATTTTCTTTTTACCCCGCTATGGATAAATAGTTTTCAATCTTTCTATACACAAAAGATCCACAAACCAGTGAAAGAGGTCTGGAAAGGGTCAGGTATCACCATCAGAGCTATGAAGCGAGGAAAAGGTGAGATAGAATGGCAGAAAATGAATCGTAATAGTCAGCTCTTAAATAATGCATGAAACAGCCAACCACAGAGGGAAGATAAGCTGATGGCAGAGAGTAGGAGGAAGGGAGAAGAGTACCAGAGCACTTTGTAATAATTAAAAGTGCCTAAATCCTGCTAGAATCAAGAATTGGTAGGAACATTCGGAGCTGACATCACACACACTTTCAGGACAGTATGTGTGCGCACATGCACACACTGACAAATACAGCTTCTGATAGCAAAAAGCCCCAGGAGACAAGTACCAAAACTGCCATACCAGCAAGTATTAAATAAATAAATCAGTGCTGTGACACTGATGGACAATTCAGCGCCATACTCTGCCAATGCCTTTGGGTGGAGGCTCTGATTCACTGATGTCTTTATTTAATAATCTCTAGTCTTCCTGGTAGTGGGAAAGTTACTCACAGTGTTGAAAATAGGACAAAGGAAGGACATGATCTGTAGACTCTTTAGAATAAAACTAGAATACAAAACGAATGGAATGCATTATTCTGTGTTCAGGGTTAGCCGTTTTCCTTCCACAGGTATACACAGCCAGACTGATCCACTAGTCTCTTTGGAACAATCGAGTCATGAAAGCCCCAAAGCTTTGTCAGTTTAATCCAAATACGTATCTATCTAAAGTTTATAGAAAGGCCATCTGAGGAAACACTGAAGCACCCCATGCCCATAGCATTATAGTGAAGCTATTTATTACTTTGATATGGTCCCCAGACACACAAGCCCATACAAGCAACTGTATCCATCTCAGATAGATGGGTGTGATGGGTCTGTGGGCGCATTGCCAGACTTTCAACAGCACCAACTCATACTGTACAATACTTACTGTGAAACCCAAATATTGGCAATCACTCCGATGGGCTGCTGTTTAAACTCTTTGATCAGTTCAATTTCACATCATGAAAAATATATGGACTGAAACTTATCAAGTCTGCCATTTTGAGAAATTCTATTATTGTTTTTTTGTCCAGAGAAGATTGATCCCACTCTGATGCCTGAAGATATAGACGGCACTCGTGTGCAGGATCGTTTCTTGGTTGGGACAAGTATCTTCATTGAGTCTGGTTGCCATGCAACTTTACTAAGCGTTTCTCACAAAATATTGAAAAAGCCCAGAGTATACAGTGAAAATAGTAACTAAAATGGATAGGGATGCACCGAATATTTGGCCACCGAAAATTATCGGCCGAAAATGGTTAAAAAGGCCCTTTATCACCGAATGTCAGAACAGGCTTACGTTGGTAACCTAACGTGTTGTTGTGATGACGTAATAAAGACGCGGCGACCATGCTCGCGGCTGGCTCACAGGGGGGGGGGGGGGGGGGGGGGGGGGGACATTGACCTTTGTCATCGAGATTGCCCTGAGCCTTTAACAAATCGTATTAAATAATCTGATGACAGACTGTAAACAGAATAGCTGAAATTTTAACAAACTAAATAACTCAGTTTCCTCTAATCATTAACCCATGTTTGTATCATGTAGTTAACTCCGTGTGTTGCTGCTAGCATACATAACACCTGACGTGGAAACGTTACTCGTGGATGGGGCTACAGAGCTGCTAGAAAGACGGTCGAACCCGGTACATTTCTCCGTCTGCATGCGGTGCACTTTTGCTAAATGTTTAGACAAATTGCTCGTGCGCCCTTACATGCTAAACTCTTATTGCACTTATGGTAACAAGTATTCTCCACATCGAGACGGGTAAAGTTTAACCACACCTCGGAGCGCGTTCTCTCCGCCATCTCCGCAGTGTGCTCCGCTGCATGTATTAGCTGCGTGTGTGTAAACTGCCCCGCCCCCTCGCACACAGACGGGGGAGAGAGATCTCGTCTGATCGAAAATACATCATAGACGCATTTGTTGTCTTTGCATATTAGAAACGAGTTGGCGACACTAAGACTGCGATATAATGTTTTTTAGCAATAATACATGACATATATAAATGTACTGTATGCATTCAAAAGTGCTGAATAAATGTTTTATGGACCCATAATAGTGAATATTATTTAAGTTAAGTTTTGCCATAATCATGTCTATTTCCATAATCAGGTAGCTGAACAACATTGGTAAAAAATGTATACATT